TCAGCAGGGTCTGCAAGTTTCTGGGTTTTTTTGACAAAGAATATCTCAATCCAGTGAGAAGTGCTACCTTTCCTCTTGCAAGGTACTGCAGAGTATTTTACTGAGTTTGTATGAGCATGCTTAACTTCTTACTTGGAAAAGAAAAGTACAATTCGGCATACCACCCTTAATTGTTGCTCTTTTCTCAGCTAGGGAATTCAGTCTGCCAGTGCCTTTAGGTCAAGATGAGGCTAGAGCCATCAGCTTCTTCAGATATGACTCCTCAGAAGACTCAAAGCAGCTGTTCTTTAAGAAATCTTACTTTCACACCACTGTTGTTGTCTCAGTAGGAGGCTTGGACTAGATGATCCAAAGGTCACTTCCAACTTCAGCCATTGGGTTTGTGACTGTGTGGTTAGAAAAATGGTAACAATTGTGATAGCACAACCTCACAACCCCAGAACAGGGGTGCAGATGCGGGAATTAGAGAGCCTCAAGCACTGATTTAGTCTTGACAGCAGCATGTGTTGAAATAGCCTTTACGAAAGTAGTCTTGTACCTTTATTGGACTTGCCAGTATCAACCATCATGGATACTTTTACATGACCTGCGTGACCACTGATTATTTAGCTAATATTTCTTCAGTCATTTGCATATGTAAATACTATATAAATGCTAAATAGATATTAACTCTGAAACTTGCTGCTAGTGCTCACACCACTATAGTAAGCATCGCTTTATTTCTCAGTGTACAAAGGCTGATTAGCCCAAGGATAGAGCTTGCCACTACTGCAAGGCAGCAACTGATAGTCTTCAGTGTTGTTTTCAGCAGTCTTTGAGAATTTGCATCCTTTGATGCAAATCCTGTCTAATACCAGCATTTTGTCTAAAATTGACAGTGATTTTTTTTAGTATGATTCCTAGTTTCAAAATAGAAACGTTTTTCTTCCTGTATTCTTATTTTCCAGCTCATCAATATTGCAGAATTTATAAAATTATATGCCTTGTTTTGTGCTATGCTTTTTTTTTTTACTACAGTAATTATGGCATCCACCTTTTGGTATGTGTCAGCGTACCATCAGCACGATGCCTGAAGCACCATCTCAGCTAATGGCTATTTGAAGTGATGTACACAGCTCCAACTTACCTGTTTTTCTCTATCAGTAACTGTGAAAACAATCACCTTAGAAGCAGCAGATCTCTAAAATTTGCACCATTTAGAGAGGAAAGATCTGGGTGAAAACAAATGCTTGATGTTTTCAGCCAGAAATAAATAAGGCATGGACTATGGCTCTCTCATCTACGAGTGAGTTTTATTAAAGAGTTAGAGCAAGCTCCAGTTTACAAGATATTCAGAACCATATGTATGCATTAATTAAAGGAATGTGGAGGAGGAGGAGGGGATCTGAGAAAATAACAAAGCAGCAGTGTATGCGTGCAATGATTTTTCATTCTGTTTCGCTTCAGCTCTGCCCCTGCAACAGAGGATCTAATCAATCTGCCGGCTATTAAGTTTGTTAATTGATAATGCATACTAATTAGGCTGTGCGCAGTTACTTAAGAGACTTTGCTAAGGTGATTGTAGGCACAAGTCCAAATGGAGTTTAAAGTATTCTGTGTGAGGTTAAAACCCATCAACCAGAATAGATGGATTTTATATTATAACAGAAGGCACAATATACCCATAAGTATTTAATGTATTGCACAGTTATCCATTGTTACATATCCTAAGTCTACTGAACAATTAAAAAGATAAAAATAACCTCTAAAAAAAGGTGAAATAAAAGGTGAATAAGGTGTGTGTATGAATATGCAGAGATAGTAGAGATGAGGGGAAGCTGAAACTGAACCAGCCTTAAAATAAATATTCATACTAATTTTCACACATATGTCCAGAAAAAATAGTATGTAATTCTGCTGCAAGGGAGGAGCAAGCATAACAAGATCTCAGCCTAATCTAGCTTTATGAACTTTGACAATAAGCCACATAAAACTGACATGCCTTTCTGCCCCCATCCAAAAGGGCAATAAACCAGTAGTTACAGAGTAGCAACAAAAGCATGTCAACTAGCTGCTTGTAATAATAGAGAAAGTCAGAACTATTACTTACATCATTACTAAATTATTATGATACTAAGAGTCTCCTTTCCATTTCTAGTGACTCTTTTTGAGGTGCTTCTGACCTTAAAGTGGTAATTTTTTACATATTAATAGTCTTGGTCTTTTTTCCCCCCTTCTTTTTCTTCTTTTCTATGCATCATATAAAATGAAAGTTCTTTGCCATATAAATTTAGATTTGGCAGGCATTAGTGATGGAGGTAGTGGGCATTTAATTAGTGAATGAATTGTATTCTCATGGTGTGGCCATTGGACCTAAAATCCAAGCTATAGTGCTTTATTTAACTCTATGAAAATGACTGGGTGACACTATTTAGTATGTAGGAAACTATTTTTTAATGACTGAATACTTAGAACCTAAAAGAAAAAAAAAACACCTAAGGAGAGAGCTGACTTCATGTCTTGCAACCTTGTTGAAGGAAATTCATTGCAATGAGATACGCCATATTACAAGAACTATTGCAGTAGAGATAATATAAATATCAGCATGGAATCAGTGGATATAGTTGGAGTGATAGGATATATGTACCAATAAAAAAGTTTTGGTAGCTACAAATTTGTACAACAATAAAGGTGAATTGCATATGTTACAATTATCTGTTTTGTATGCAAATGTTGCGTATTATGTCAAGAATTATGGGGAATTTAGTTTTTTATTTGTTTCCTATCAGCCAGTGGCTTCAACTTGTGTGTAGTACAAATCCGGGGAGACATAGACACTCTTCTAAATGGCTGAGCTGTGACCCAGAGGGGCCATGCACAAAGCTATGGAAAGATGGTGTTCACTAGATTTACAGTAAAATCCCCAAAAACTGTTGGTAGGCTTTGTGACATTAGCAATGCCAGCTTCACAGTGAGAAATATAAACACAACTTGTAATGAACTTTCTTTAAGTTTTCTTCCTCTGAGAGTTCTGTGGGAGATGTATTTCCTATCCCTTTCAGTGCTTCATTTAACAGTCTGTAATGAATGAGTAAATAAGAGAAGATGAACTTAAAAGGCAATCAAAGTAGCAGGGAATTGCCAGCATGAATGAGTGTTTCTCAGTAGGTTAGTACATCTCAAGGAGGTTACAATGAAGATAATTTTACAAGGAAGATTGATAGCAGCACTATGGACATATTGACACTGGAGACAATAGGATCTGATTTTTTCTCCCCAGTACCAACATTTTTCTGAGGCGCATCCACTGGGGATTGTGTCACTGTAAGGTCTCCTTCTCCTTAATGGGGAAACGGGCACATCCAGAAAATAGCTCTCGTCAACCAAGATCAGAATTGCCTTCTGGAGTCTCTTATTATTCTGTGGACCTCATCATGTTCCTAGAAAGGATGAGGTTCCTAATGCACTGAACCCTATCTATACAGGAAGGTTGAATAGATTGGACTGAAGATTTTTTGATATTTCCACAAAGCAAGGTGTTTCAGGGGGAATAGCTTTATCTATCTATCTATCTATCTATCTATCTATCTATCTATCTATCTATCTATCTATATCTATCTATCTATCTATCCATCTATCTATCCATCTATCTATCTATCTATTTACTGTAAGTGTAAGACAGGTTACACCACTGGTCACTCCTTGTATTGTGTCCTCTCATGTCAGCAACAAATATGTGCTCTGAAGAAGCTTATCTTAACGCCAGCAATAAGTTGATCACTGGTAATTATGAAAGAAGCTAGATGAATAACTTTATTGATTAATTCTGAAGGGGAGCTTACAGAGAGGTACAACATAGGTTCTTATATTTTGATGTGTGGTTAAAACAATAAAGAGAGTTCACTTAGCCATTGAGCAGTCTCTTTTAAGGCTGTCCTCTGAATGAAATCATACTATGCCTGTTCAAGAGACCTGCCTCTTCCAGGAATATTTCACCTGCATTATTGAAGAGGTTTCTGCTCTGACGTCTTTCTTTAGTGCACATCAGTGAGATTTTAGCCCATAATGTCAACTAAAGCGAAGTAAATAGTAGGAAAAATGTTCTGTGAATATTTGCTCAGAGTGGAAAGTGGATTTCAATTAGACCATGTTTGCAATGCTTTCACGTTAGCTTTCCAGGAACACTTGAGAGCTCAAGCTTTATTGGTATGAATAACTCATGAAAAAGTGAATGCTAGCTCAAATATTCACCAAAAGCAGATTTTGAAGAGAAAATTCACTGGAGAAGTATGTGACTAATTTTGAATAAGAAGAGCTGCTGAGAATTTTACAATGTTACTATCTCTTTGAGTACAGGTTACAAAGAGAAATAAAGGTAGTATCTGCAGATAATATTCAGCAAATATTCACCAGCTCTAATGTAAAAAACCTCAGAGTGATGCTGTCTTTTCTGTAAGGCAAATATCCATTGTTTCCGGTTTCTTACAAGACTAAATTGTTAGCTTGTTGTTTAGGGCATGCTCCGTGGAGGTTCAAGCACCGAGGGTTCCCATGAACTTAATATTTGATATTGCTTGATAACCTCAGGACTGGACCTTCTTGCTACTGTCCTTATATGTTGTATGTTGTATGTCCTTGCTACGTGTATGTCCTACTGTACTTATCACAGGTTACACTTTTAGAAAATTTTGTCTACTCTCCTACTTGTGTCATCTTAGAAATCCTTTTATTGATGACCTGGGTGAAATGCACAGCATTTGAGTATGTTTGTCAATGTGCCTATTTTTTACCTCATTCACTCCATTACTACAGAATTGTATTTAAGATTAAAAAAGACAGCAGGAAATTTGCTGGATTGCCATTTCATAAATTGGTATGGGTTGGGGTTTTATTTCAGTGGTACTCCTAAGAGTTCAAGAGACTATTTAATATAAGCAAGAGTATCCTCCTCTGATTTCAATTAGAATACAAATCTGAAAGCTAAGGACAGAGAATTTAGAAAGGAAAAGAGTGCCACACTATAAATAATATTCACTGTAATTCTAGTCTACCAGGAATCAAACCACATCTGAGAAAGAGTTTTCCAAATTCCCTCTTTCCAATTTTACTGCTTCCTTTTACACTTTCACTCTCTTTCTGTGTCTTCCTCTCTTCTTCCATGAGGGGAAAAGGAACATTATAGCCATCTCCTGCTGCCACTTTTGTTGCAGATGACAAGATATCTTCTTGGACATCAGGCTTCCTTTACTAAACACAAAGCCAGAAGCAGAAGCAAAACAAAATAAAAAAAGAGAGAGAGAAAAATATTTTGCCTTTCATAATACACAAAGGAAAATTATTAACATTCAGCTTCATTCTCAAGTGTGAACTAAGTTATATGGACTTAAAAATGCAAAAATTAAGATGAATGAAACTCTCTCTTGCTTAGCGATCAGATAAAAAATAAACATTTGCCTAAAATGATTGCCATTGCTTAATACATTTTATATGAAATAAGATACTCTGTTGTATCATTTCTCACAATATGTAATGCTTTGTTTTTCTGCAATACTATTTTGCTGATTTCTAACGTATTAAAATAGATCCTTTTTGCCTGTTCTACAGCAATTTCTTTATATAAACAAATGCTTCTAAATGCTTTAAGAAAAGAGGTATTAAATTGGTTAAAACACAAACCATTAGTAAGCCTCTCAGAGAAAAATCTGCAAATGTGAAAACAAGAAGGGAAGAGTACAATGCACATAGTAATTATTGCAATTCATCAAATCACAGCATATGTACTAGCATTGAAATTATATCACCCAAAGAGCACAGACTTTTTACATAGCCTGAAAAATTCCTTACTTTGTTATAGTGGGATGTACAAATAATTCATTTGATCTCCCTTATGAAATATATATGCATGATCTCTCTAAGGGCTGTGTTGTATTTGCTGTTGAATATAGTTTACACTATTTCTATATAGATTCTTCCAGGGAGAAAATCAGAAAGGAACTGCTCAGATTCCATAATTCAGAATTTTACAAGGCACTGGAAGTACTAAAAAACATATTTTATTTTCAGATTTTATTTAAAAATTGTTCAAGGAAGCATGAAATAATGAATAAACTCCAGTCCTGAATCTTTCTGCATTCAACTGTTGCCCTTTGAAGACTTTATGACTGGTCTGAGTAAAATCTGGAATGGAGCTTCTTTAGATGTGAAGTGAGATCTCCTTTATCCAAAGCTTAACTTTTGAAAGCAGTGTCCACCTAAAATTGAAATAAAATTGACCTTTTATTTTCATGTTTGTCGTCTAGTTTCTTTAAAGGAAGTTTGGAAAGTGTCATCTTCCAGTAAATATACATAACTTTATCCTTTCAATTTAAACCAAAGTTTATCACTGATACAAGCTTTATAAAAATTGAGCAGAAAAGCTAAAGGCACATGTAGTAATTCTGGTTTACTAATTTTTGTTAGTTGGACTAGTGCACACATAGAATTTTATACATCAAAGCTTAAGTCTCACGATTCCTGCTCCCAGATCAGGTGAACCAGAGAACTTCAATTCCTTTTTTTCCCCACTTTAAACTGAAGTAAAGTAAACTGAAATTGAAGAGTTTGCTTTCTATTTTGTTGTTCATTAGTAGATCCAGTTTACCTCTTGCTTTTATGATTTTGTGTGGAAAGTCATTGGCTTCAGTAGGGTTTCTCTTGATTTATACCAGTTTAAGTAAAACTCATATTGGCTCTTTTCTCTCACTGAAGATGTTGCCCATGAGATGTGTCAGAATAATGACTCAGGAAAATGAAGTCATAGACTAGACAAGGCTCCCAGAGAATGAGCGGCCTTGCACACTTCACTGGTCCCCACATCAGTGTGCGCCGATCCTGCCGTGACGAGGATTACCTGGGGAGGTGCCTGACATTCTCCGTGCCTGCTCAATCTGTTCTGTGTGGCAATAGCGGTGATAACTGTGTTGTGGACATTTGTCCTTGAAGAGTACATTTCTCATACCAATAGGCTATTGACTTTCAGTAATTGCAAACTTAGGGAAGATTTTTATTGGTGTGCTGGAGATAAAAGATCTCTTGTCCCACTATCACAATCTTCCATAATGATTAAACTGCAACAGGGAAAGAGACAAATTTGGTCCCCTTTTCCCACCCATCTGAACAAGGTGTTGGTATCTACCTACATAATCAAAAATTCAGCATACAGAGATTTATTTCACAGCAGGACTTTTGCCACAAAATTGTAAAGCAGTTTGTTAGTGATCGTTTGTCTTTTTTTTTTTTTTTTTTTGTCATAACTGGATGTTAATAAGGATTATTAAGGATGAGGGGGAAAAAAGAATATCTGATTAATAGTCTTACCTTTAAAGACAATTATAAAAAAAATTAGTACTACTTTATAGAGTCAATAGTTTTGAAAGATGAATTCGACCAGTTATATTACTTGTTTAAAATATAATGAAGACACCTGGAAATTATAACATCCTTTGCACAGTAGATGTCATATTACTTTTTTTGGTGATTACGTCAATTTAGTATTTCACGTATTATTAATAATTCCTCATTACATAAAATTATTACTAAACTGGCAATTAAGTGAATGTGAAGGATCCATATGCTGAAGTGTTTGTAACATTTCAATTATGAACCTCACATCAGATGTCTTCCAGTGTACATCAATAACATTAATGAACAATTTTTTTGCCAAAAGTATCTAAATGCATTCCATTGTCTTATTATATTATATATTATATTTTCACAGAGCCTTGATGTGTCTTCATAAATATTCAGATATTAGCTTCAGGAGGAATCACGTAGTCTACTTTCGGGCTCTATTGCACAAACAGGATTCCTCATATCTCAATAGTTATCAAATCTAGACATTAGTGTTTTCAGCTAATGGCAACTTCTTGTTTCAACATGTCTTCATCAACTTCGCTTTATGCTTAACATCTCTTTTTCTTTTAATTTTTATTTTCTCCTTATTTTCTAAAATAAAATCTCTCCTAAGTTAAGAACACTTCTCACTGCTGCTTTTCAAAGGTCTATTCTCCTAACTTAAACCAACTGTCTCTCAGAGAGTACCCAGGACAATCTGTGCACTGAATTTCATAATGTTTTATGAAACATCATGTTTATCTTTAATTCTTACTTTCAATCTGTGAATCACATAGATTAATTGCCATCTTTCCTGTAAAAGTGTAAGTCAAACAATTTTGAAAGACAAACTTGAAGAAGAAAGTTAATAAGTGAATTGTCTGAAAACAGACAGGTGGTATGCATGTAAAACTCCCTACTCATTCAGCCAGGCTACTGCTCCAAAGAAAAGTGAATTGAGTAAGATAAGTGAACTCCAGAAATGTACCTTCTTTCATGTTTGGCTTTCTGGTTTAATCCGTCTGGGTTTTACACCATTTGTTTCCTTGTGCTTTGAACGGATGGACTGTGGGAGTACTATACTAGTACAGCATAGATACTGCCTTCATGCAAAAAGATGAAGGAAGTTTTTCAAAAAAACTGAAAAAAAACCTGCAAAAGTTTGACCAATGATCATTACTGACCAGTATTCACTAGACACCGGTTGACTGTTCCTCTCATTTGTCCCTTTTTAAAAATTATATATTTGCATGTGTCAGTCTGATATTACTGGAGAAGGCACAAATACGAAATAAACAAACCACAGAAAATTTGTTTCCCATTGATCAGTGGTCATAGTTTCCATGCAGATTTGTGTGCCTGTCTTTATGTCCAACCGTGTGGACTGATAAAGTAGCATTTTAACTCTCGTATGATGCAAGTTAGTAGTAAGTGGAGAAATACTAATGTCCACATTTATCTCAACAAAGAAAGCTAATCAAGTTAGAGGTTGATTCTCCTTGAAACTTGGGTGAAGCCTCTAATGAAAGCTCAACACAGAAAGAGGTAGTTTATCTCATTTATTTTTTGACTGAGGGTTTTAAAATTTCACCAGGCTTCTCCTCACTATTATAAAATTGTGTTCTCTGCATTTGTAGTTTATACGATTTCAGCTTGCCCAGGAAATTTAGGCAAACACAGGGATGTTCATATCACATCACTGGGCCTTGGAGCCCATACCATATGGATAGGGTGTGGTACAATCCTGCAGAGCATCTTAGCACAAGGACAATTTATTCTTTCCTTTTTCAATTTGCAGACAGGTCCATTCTTTAAAAAAAATAAATATTGCTGAAAAAATAGCCTAGACATTTGAGTACTATAAAGCAGAGAGGTTCTGGGGAAGACAATGGAAAAGTTTTCTTCCATATTATGAAATGTTTGGTTTGAGAGTAAGAAGATTTGCTCCTCCACAGGGCCAAAAACTACACTAACCACTTAGAATACTGTGGCTTTTTTGATGATGTTTCATAAAAATACTTAAACACCAAGTACCTCTTGTATTGGTGAAGATAACTCACATTTAAGATAATGCTTTGGCCTGGATTTTCCGAAGTAGATACAGATTTTAAGTGTTCCAAAATTCAGATTCCTAGCATCTGACTTTCAAATCTTCCTGAAAGGTTTGTGACGAGAACATGAGTGGCAGCACTTCTTTTCAATATCATGTCTTTTTAAGCTCTCTTTCCTTGAGGACTCCAAAATTAATTTATCTAAAAAGATTTATAACTTCTACTTCTCCCTCCATACTTTCTGAGAATATTCATTAGATACAAAATTTCATGTAAGCATTTCTCTGCACTGCTCTATATGCATAGATGACATAATGTTAGAAGTCATAACCTATTCAGGTCTCCCATTTTGTAGTGCTGAAGTGGCCTTTTGAAGATAGATTTAAATTCTGGATTGGTTAAATGGTGGATTTTCACAGAGCTGTGATTAGCCAGAAAGAGCACAGATCCTGACAAAAATCATCCAGCATATTTTGTCAGCCAACCAAATTTTAACAAATTTGGAAGTAGCAATATTCAGTGTTGAGCAGTTTAGAAAAATGAAAAAGGGGGAAATCAAGGTGTGGATTTTTGATATGTGCACATCATGAATTTGGTTTACTCTCCACAACAGACCATCTCCTTCTCCCTCTCTCTTCATCTCTCACTCACAGATTTCTCACATGGCCACTCATTCGTACATATTCTGCCCTTCAGCTTTGTTGTGATAATCTGTTGCTTGTCTGTGAAAATCCCTTTTCTCCATCTTTTTCCTGTTCACAGAACCTCTCTCCACAATGCAACAAAGTTCTCCTTATTTGACTCTAATTCATTACTAAATGAAAA